ATTTTTTTTTTTTTTTTTTTTTTTTGGTCATCTGCACTCTCTCCTGTTTCTTTACTGACTCCAATCAGTCTTATGTTATTCTCCTTTTAATCATCTAGAAACTTCTGGATTGATTTATTTTGGTCCCTTACTGTTTTGAAGAGATTTTTCTTTTCCTGGTCACTAATTGCAATACTGTCTTCTATATCTGAAATTCTGTTCTCGCATAGGCTCATTTTGCTGCATAAAATTTCACTGGAGTTTTTAATCTCCTGGAAGTGTTTGCGTCTGTTTTATAGATTCAGTTTGTTTCCTGTGTTGGGATTCCATCATATTTCTTAGCTCCTCTAGTTTTTTTAATCTGTCTGCTCTAGATTTATTAATCATGTCTTGTACTATGGGCACAATCTCTGCTGTTATCTGAGAAATTATTTGTCACTTCATTTTTTTCAGATTCTCTTTTGTTGCCTTTTCAGGGAGTCCAGGTCATTAAATATCAGATTGTTCCATCTCATTTCCCTTTTGGGTTGCCTTAGGTAATCTAGAAGCCTGATTTTGAGACTTGTTACTGTGTCTTCTCATTTCAAAAGATGCAGCCTGCTGAGCCTTTATTGAGACAACTTTTAGCTCACCCAGTGGTCTTCAATTCTCACCAAGCCACCAAGAGACCTTTTTTCTGCTGCTCACCAGTTCACTAATTCCTGGGTTTAAACCACTGATGCTATGGTGCACGTCTCTGATTGAAGCTTGTGCACCTGTGCAGGTTGTTCCTGGTTGGGCCTTGGCTGTGCAGTTTTGCCGCAGTCTAAGGGGTCAGGGAAGATCCCTGACTGGGATGTGCCTGCAGTTGTGCTGGTCTGGAACCCACTGCTACTCCCTTGGATCTGCACACACTTGTTGAGGCTATGGCGCTGGCCCCTGACTGAAGCTTTTGTGCTTCTGCAGCTCTATGCTGGGTGGGCCTAGGCTGGGTGAGCTTGCTGGACCCTCTGGGGCTGGGTTGGATCCATGGCTGGGATCTGCCTGCAGCCAGGCTGTTCTGGACCACTGGTGCTCCAAAATTCTATGAATGTTGAGATCATTTTTTTAGTTTTGAAAGAGAATAAAAAGCCTGGTCAGATTTTGATAGGGAATGAGTTGAGTTTATACATCAATTTGGAGCATATGGCTATCTTAACAACTTAAATTTTCCAATCTATGAATATGACAAGTCCTTTCATTTATTTAGGCTTTCTTTTCTTTTTTCAGTGTTTTCTAACTTTAGGCTGTAAGTTTTACAATTCCTTTCTTGAATGTATTCATGAGTATTATATTATTTTTATGCTATTTTAAAAGGGATTGTTTTACTCTGTTTTGTCCCAGGAGTTTTTATTGCTAGTGTGTAGCTCATATAGCTAATGATTTTTGTATGTTACTCTTTTGTTCTGCAAACTTATTTATTATTTTTAATGTTTTTTTTAGTGATACTTGTCTTTCTGGTTGTGGGTTATTTAATGCATTGTTCTTCACTTTTATATATTTTACTGCAAATGACAGAATTTTTTTTTGTGGATTAATACTACTTTTATTATATATATATATATAATATATATATAAAACATTTTCTTTATCTGTTCATCCATTGATGGTCAACAAGGTTGCTTATGTATTTTAGCTATTGTGAATAGTGTTGCAGTAAACATAGGGATGTAGGTATCTCTTTTGTTCATTTTCTTTCTATACAAACAAATGGAATAGCTAGAGAATATGGTAGATCTTTTTTTAGTTTTATGAAGAACTTTCATACTATTCTGTTTAATGATTATACTAATTTATATTCCCTCTTAGATTATATTTGAGTTTCTCTTTTGAACAATTTCACCAGTATTTATTAATTTTTATTAAAAAATTTTTCATCTTTCTCTTCTCTTTTTTGCTATTCCCAATTCATGTAGGATGGTATATGTAGTTGGTATTCCACATTTTTCACAAATTTTGTTAATTTTTTTCTCTGTTCTTGAGATTGTATTATCTTAATTGATCTATCTTCAAGCTCACTGATTATTTTTTCTGCTTGCTCACATCTACCATTGAGCTTTCTCTATTAAAAATTTTACTTTCAACTATTGTATATGATGGTGCTAAAATTTCCTTTATTTTTCCCATACTTTTTTCTTTTTTGGTACTGGGGATCAAGCTTGGGCCCTTGTACATGCAAAGCAGGTGGTGGAACCACTGAGCCAAATCCCTGGCTTTTGCTTTGTTGATATTTTATATTTGATAAGACATTGTCAGATTTTTCTTTACTTCTTTCAAATAAGGGTTTCCTTGAAATCTTTGAACATATTTAAAATAACTGCTTTGAAATTTGTTTCAGTACATCTGCCATTTGTATCCTCTCATAGGCAATTTGTGTTGTCTATTTCTTTCATATGTATATGTGTCACTTACTTTCTATTGCTTTACATGACATGTTTTTTTCTGAAAACTGTTTTATTAATAAATTGTAGTAATTCTGCATCCTGAGTCATTATCACTGTCTAGTACTGCTTGTTATTTAGAAAGTTGGCTGGACTCTCAATGAAGCCTGTTTCCTCCTCCATCCATATATATATATATATACTTTCTAAAGTTCCTCAGAGGTTACAGCTTGGGCATATACACAACTAGTCCTGGCGTGATAGTTTTAGCAGGACTCTCTTTTACTCTGAGTTCTCTGTTATGCTGTCTGCCTGTGTTGTTTGCACACTCAACTTTTAGCTTCCACTAATTGCCGACTGCTTGTTCTAGTGTTTTCAAGAGTGCTATTGGGCATAGATTGCTACACAGTTTAACAATTGAATTCAGCTTGAGCTCCTTTGTAGAAGTTGTCTTTGAGTCCAGTCTATGGGTTTATTTGGACCCCCAGAAGAATTTTTATTAGCTTTTCCTCTGGTTCTCTCTGGTAAACTCATAGCCTGTCTGTGGTTTAGTTTATTACCCTTATGACACTAACCCTTGTTTCTCCTCTGTTGCTTTTTTTTGAGTGATTTTGGCTTGTAATTTCCTAATCTGTTTTTTTTTTTTTTTAAAGTGAAGTAAGTTCTTTTGGGAGAGTTTTGGAGTTCTGTTTTTTAGCGTGCCTCTTCTACTGGGGAAAACCTTTGTGCCATTGTTTAGGGAGATGCCACTGCTATGACCAGGGACTTGGTCTTTTAAGTTTGTGTTTTCTGGGCTAGAACTCTTTCTTATGAGAGAGGTAGGATGAATAAACATTACTTCATTCCTGAAATAGGGTTGCTATACCATTTTGGGAAGAGGGGAAGGTGGGGCATGAGAAATGCTGGTAGCCTAATAGTGAGGTATCATTGGACTGGAGTGGGAGTTGAGTGATGAAGAATGTTTGTGTACTTTGTGTTCTTGGCTTTAACCACCTATGGTAGAAGCTCTGTTTTTCTGAACTAGTCCTGTGTGTGGGGGGGGTAGAGGGAGGATGAGAGTAACTAAGGGATTATTGGTTTCAAAGCCAATATATTATTTATATTCTTACCAACCTTATTTGATATTCTTAAGAATTTCCTCATTTACTGTTGTGATTAGTAAAATTTTCTGAGACTTTTAATTAGGTGTGTGTGTGTGTGTGTGTGTGTGTACCTGTCTATCTGTCTGCTTGTCTAATATTTCTTACTAACCATAGTTATTGCCCTGGTGAGAATGTTTGTGGAAGTCTTTATTCTTTCATCCTAGAAATCAGCCTCATATTATTTAAGCATTAAAGAATTAGTATTGCTACATATATAGCTATAGTATACACACTAAACATAGAATGTTTACATTCCATGTCTAAGGTCTTACTCAGCATAGTTAAGAAACATTGATTCATACTATCATGAATATACATATTCATTCAGAGTGATTATAGTTGTGAATATGTATTTATAGAACTTCCTCTCAGCTATACTTCAAAGAACATTTATATTAATTTTACTGTTTCTAAAATACATTATAATTGTAATTTTTAATTATACACAAAATATGGATGTGTCTAAAAATAGTCTTGAGCAAAAGGACCTACACACAAATGAGTACAGTTATATGATTCCATTCATGTAAAGTATAAAACAGTAGAACAAACCCATGTTATTTGAATCAGGATAGTAGTAATGCTTTGCTTTTGATTTAGGCTCTGGTTACTTAGTTGTGTTTATTATATAAAAATATTGAATTTTAGGTTTATGTTATCTGCACATCTGTGCATATTATACTCACATAAAAGTTAATAAGTTTATGAAAGGGTCCATATTAATTTTATAGTTTTAACCAAATACAATTTAGTATAAGTTTATTATATTTAACTTTACACCTTTGGTACTTCAAAATGATGATATTTTGGTCCTCTAGTATGAAGAAAACTTGTTTTCTACCTTCATAATGAAAAAAAGAATTTAAAATTTAAATTATTATGTTATTAATGATTCTGTTTGATATTTATGTTTCCTCAAAGCATTTTGAGATACTGAGACTCTTCAAATATTCCTTTTTAAAAATTAAAGCTTAGTGGTCATTTTTAAGGGTTAAAGAAAAGCCATGTTTTCCCTCACAACTCCAGGGAATATTCTATATGCAAATTCAATCCTTTATATAATATATAAAATCAGGGAGATCTCTTTATCCTTTGTAATACATTTTTAAATTTTATTCTGTAGGACTATTTTGAAAGAAAGTGGGTTTGCCAGATACCTTCATTCAGCTGTTCTTATCAATGGAGCTATGCTTATTTTTGGAGGAAATACCCATAATGACACTTCCTTGAGTAACGGTGCAAAATGTTTTTCTGCCGATTTCCTGGCATATGACATAGGTATGTATCTGTTAGGAATGTATAAAATAGGAAATATCCGAAGTTTTCCATATGAAGATTCTTAAATATATTCATTGCAGCATGTACGTATGTCATTTTAGAAATAAATTTAGTGATAGATTATGAATGATGTTCTCTCTAATCTCAGCATAGTAGTAGTACAGAGCCAAGAAACAGAAGTGCTGTAATGAGTTAGTGGTGGAGACAGTGTCATATTAAATGTCCATTTTAAAGCCTTTTGGTATATTGTGTCCCTTTGTGAGCCCTATATCACACTATTGTGTTTGTGACTATATTAGTTTTGATAATGAATAGATAGAAAGTACTTTCAGGCCATGAAAATTATAAGTAGGAATGCAAATATTTTAGATTTAGGAGCAATAAAAAAGTTACATTTATATTACATTATACTTACCAAATATAGGAATCTGATAGAACTAGAGGAAGGGGTATAGAGAGAGTATTGCTAAAAAATAAGATTATGAGACAAAATAGAAATCCGGAATGTACCTCAGAAAGGAAACAACTAATTCTTTTTGTAGAGAATCAGAAATACAGAACATTTATATTATCCATTTTGTTTTAGTGATGCTATCTATACTCCTGGTTATTTCTGAATATTTAAGTGATATATTTGTTGAAATATTGTGTAGCTTTCCACTAGAACATTGTAGCAAATATATTGTTTCTCTTTGTTTCGTATTATTGATAAAACTTAGTTGATGCTGTGATGAACAATTTAAGACTGAGCTATTTGTTGGGAATAGCTAAAGTTGGGAATTTATGTTTATTTATTTCATATTGTTTAAGATTATTTTTTAGGTTTGTGTCAGAAAAGCTTAGTGAGGTGAAAAAATTAGATTGTTTTGCTTCAGAAAAATAAAGAAATGAAGATATTAAATTATCAATATTATTGCTACTTTTAACCTGAAGAAACTGTAACACATTTAATTTTATCTTAAAATGGGAAATACTTTCAAATCATAGCCCAAAATCTTAATCTTACTACTCTTTATTAAATCCCTTCTAAATGGTAGGCAGTATGCTAAAGGACTTATATACAAAATCTGAAACCTCTCTAACCTGTGACAAGATGGTATTATCCTCATTTTAAGAAGATTAAGCAGACAAGAATAATAAGAACTTGTTCAAAATCATGCATGTAGTAAGTGACAAATCTAGTTTTTGTAACTTCTACAACTTGTGGCAATCTTTCTACTTGAACATACCACTGATTAATTGGGTCTAGTCAGTGGTGGTAAATCTATGGCATGTGTGGCACAGTGGGTTGTTTGTTATTATTGAAAGCTCTAAAAGGTTTGCCATTAATGTGTATTCTTAATGCTACATACATTCACCAATAGTTTATATTTCGTAGTATTTATTTCTCTATATTATAGATAGAGAGAATTAAATATCTTTTAATTTCACTTTTTCAAACAAAATTTTTAGACTGGAGGAACTAGAAAAGTATATTTTAAAGTTTCATATTTTAACAGGATTTTTTGTCTTGTGCTAACACTGACAATTAAAACATGAAATCAATCTTAATAATTCAACATAGAACAAAAGTGTTTTATTTCACTTGATTGTGTGTATGTAGTTTGTCAGCACTTTCCCCATATAACCTGTATTTGTCGTCTTGTGTTAGCAGCATCAAATGTTGGACTATTTTCATGCAAGGAACATTTTCATCTTATTTTTCACACATCAGAAAATATCTTCCAAAGTAGTTTCCTATAGAGTATGTTTTATGGAAATAAATGTAAGCATGGCATAATGAACAAGCTAGAAATTAGATTTTCTGTGAAAAAAATTTTCTTGTTGCTAATTTTTTTTCTTTAGTATAGTACAGTAAAACTTTTTGGCATATTAACTAGAATGTATTTGAATACTTTGCTGATTACCTTTCTGCCAGAGCAACTTTAAAATAGTGAATATCATTAATCTTTAGAACTATAACTTTACTTTCACATTTGTCATATTATGCATGATAGATGGTGAATACTGGTGATTTTCAAATAGGTTTATCCTGGCATCCCCTATGAAAATGGTTAGGAGAAAAATAACAGACCTATATAATCAGATTCTTTGAGATTAAGCACTAGCTATCTATATTTTTAGAAAGTGACTAAAGTACAGCTGATAATAGAGTAAAAATTGTCAGGTGAGTCTGGATCAAATATAACATATTGCAAGAGACATTATTTAGTATTCCAGTTTGTAAATCTAGTTTAAATTGAAATTTTAGAATCTGGAAACTATTGTTTTTGTTATTGTTTGTGATATTATTGTGCTTTCATATAGCTACCTTGGTGGCTTTTTCAAGATAAAAAGATATTTTTTGTAATGACAGTCTTCTAATCAAAATTCAGATAAAATTGTGAAAGAAGATGAAAAACAACTTATTAATAATATTTGCCTTCAAAATGATAATAGGAGATGATAGAAACATGAAAATGTAATTTCCTGCATTAGATTATTTCAAAAATTGGAAGGGAGTAGGATTTGGATGAAAAAATATATCTTGCAAGAAGCAGGACAGCTGAATCTTCAAATCAGATTGAATTAATAATAGAGTTTTAAAAAATTCCATGAACTTACAGTTTTACTTACAACATTAATTTCTTGGTAGGTTAATATTTAAAAACACAATATTTAAACACTGAACAATAATTCCATATTTGAAGAACCCATATTTTTTTTTGTTTGTTCTTTTTGTTTTATGAGACAGGGTCTCACTATGTAGTTGAGACTGACCTGGAACTCAACTATGTAGCCCAGGCTGGTCTTGAACTCACAGCGATCCTCCTGCCTCAGCCTCCCGAGTACTGGTATCACAGGCATGTGCCACCACACACCTGGCTGAACCCATATCATTTTATTTGTTAATGTATAGTAACCATTTTATAGTATGGTGGAATTGTAGTTAATTGTACTCAAGTAAGAGTTATGAAGCGTAGCATACACAATTTTGTACAGCCCTATGGAATGATATGTATATATATGTCTATAATGGATGCAGTTTTCTAAGACCTAATTTCATAGAAAATCACATTGAAATTAAATCATCTAATTTCTGAGACATTCCAAAAAAGATGTGAAAATTCGAACTCGCTTGCCCCTCATGTTTATAATTATTTTTATATTCTGGAAGTTATTTTATTAATTTATTTCTCTTCTATTCCTCTGTAACCTTCATTAATTCTTAAAGCTCTTTTTTAATGAAAGCATCACCACCTGCTCAATCACCTGAAAAAAAATACTTCATTTCTTTATAGGTCAGGAAAACCCTTAAAATCATTCGCATTTTGTTTTCTGTGAAATAGCTAACTGTTGATGTTTTGAGATGTATCTTTTGTTTGAGGTGTTCTTCTTTTCCTGTAAGAGTAAATAGAAGAAGGAGCAATTCTTCCCTACCCTCTTCCTCCTTCTTTTAATTAGCTAATAAGTTAAAGGAAAAGTGACCTTTCAATTTGCAAGAAGGGAGACCTCACTTTTGTCCAATATTTCCTATAGTGCTTGACTTTACACATGCTTTATACTTGATACTTGTAACATCTGTATAATATGTATTATTATATTCAATTTATAGAGGAAGACTCTGATTTGTTCTAGTTAAACCCAAAGGTATAAGGGGTGTAAGATGGATAGAATTTGAAGTCAAGTCTAAATTCAAAGTCATTTGTTTCTACCATTACACTATTATGTTGATTTTTCCTGATCTAATATGAAAAAAATCTCAATCACCTTTTAGTTGGGAAGAGAACATATAGTATTTACTACTATTAATAAGATGTTCAAAAATAGACACTTAGAGTAAGACACTTAAAATATATTTTATTTAAAAAATTTTTTTCCTTCATTGAGTTTATTGGTACATTTTAGGTATACAGTACAGTTACATTCCTCATTGGGATCTTGTGTCTTTACATGACAGGTCTTGGTTCTCATTTTCCCCCATACCCCTGCGCTCCCTTCACCCCCCCTTCTCCTCCCCATTTACAAACATTTTATTTCCATTTTTTCATTTTCTCCTACTTTTTCTTTCTCATATTACCTTTCCCCTAACCTTCCCACTTTCCCTACACATTTTGCCCTTTTCTTTCCATTTCACAATGTCAGTCATCTCATTAGGATCTTATGTACTATTATAGTTTCTTCACACTAGAGAAACTATTTGGTATTTACACATGTGTGACTTATTTATTTCACTTAGGAGTATATCCTCAGTATGTATCCATTTTCCTATGAATGAATCTAATTTCTCATTATTTATGGCTGAGTAATATTCCATTTTATAGAAAAACCACGTGTTCTTTATCCAGTTTCCAACTGATGGGAATATGGGCTGTTTCCAAGTTTTAGCTATTACAAACTGTGCTGCTATAAACATGGGTGTGCATATATCACTCTGGAACAAGACAAGGATGCCCACTATCACCACTCCTCTTCGATATAGTTCTAGAAACATTAGCCATAGCAATTAGACAAGAGAAAGAAATTAAAGCAATAAAGATAGGAAAGGAAGAAGTTAAACTATCATGATTTGCTGACGATATGATGTTCTACATTGAATACCCAAAAAACTCCACTAAAATATATTTTAAAATATATTTACAATTTTATTATAAATTTTATTGCCCATTTTCCCCACAAAATGTTTAGAGAGTAGTGATCTTATGGTAGAAAATCCAAGAGCAGCAGCTCCTCTGGTGGAGACTGGCTCCCCTGGCTCCTTTGGCCATTGGCCAGAGCATGCTGGCTATGGGGCAGGTAAAGAGGATTGCATGTTTAGGAGGAACTTGGAAAGAGAGTTAGATTAATTTATTGCCTATCCAAAGGTCCAGAAACTATGTGATAGTGTCTTAATTACTTTTCTTGTTACTGAGACAAAATACCCCATACCAACAAGTTAAAGGAGGAAAGGTTTATTTTGGCCACAGTGACAGAGGCTTCAGTTCATAGTCAGCAGGAACCAAGGGAGGTTGGTCTCACAG